GGGGGGGGAGGGCGGTGCCACTGGGGGAGGGGGGGCCGATGGTGGCGTAAGCTGCGAGCGCGATTGGGAAGGGGGAGCTGCGGGCCGCGCCTGCTGCAGCATGGGCCGGCTTGGAGCGGCGCGTCTCATGGACACATGGACATACAGATATGTTTACATCAACATCACACATGTATGTACATGTGTGTACCGTATATGGACATACTTGCGCATGCACATACATATACGAGTGTATTGCAACTCATTTAGGCAGTGCGATGCTGCTTGTGGCAGCCTTCCTCATGACAGCGCCTCCCAGCAGTCGAGCGTATCACACCCATTACTCATCCGGCCCGCCAACCGCCGCCAACCGCCGCTGCCCGCGCCCGCCCAGATGGCGGACTTCAACCGGGACCTGGCAGCCAACCCGCAGCTTCTCGCCAGGTCCGCGGGGCCTGCTCAACGGGCGACCCGCTGCGGGGGCGCGGCGTGCGCCCCGTGCGCGCGCACCCGCCAAGCGATGCGCCCCCGCCGCGGCGTCGTGTGCGGGGGCGGCGCGCCGCGCGCCCGGGCGGCCCCGGCGGGGGCGGTTTGCGCCGTGTTGTGCGGCTGCATGGTTGGGTGCCACCCTTTTTGGTGCCAGTCCGATCTCACGGGATAACCCACATCCCTCATGCTCCTCGCACGCCCCAAGCCGTCCAAGCCGCCCCGTGATCCGCGTCCCCCCGGCTCAACGCCCCCGCCACTCGCCAACCCCCGCCCGAGCCCTTCATCTCAGGCTTTGAGCCCGCACCTCCCTGCCCTCGGCTGTCCTCCAGGTACCACGGCCCCACTGTGATGCACTACAGCCCGCCCTGCCAGGGCCTCTCCACCGCAAACAAAAAGGAGCGCCGCGCCGTCGGGCCCGAGTTTGGGTGAGGGATCGCAACCTCGCGACCTCAAACAGTGCACCCTCCGCACGAACACCCAACCTCGGGGCCCGCTTCCGGCCATCCGCGCCCCTCCTTTGCTTGCCTGAGGCCCGCTGTCCGCGCGCTTTGCAAGGTTACGTGCGCGGCGCGCCCCGCCGCAGCCTCGTTGCTGGGGCCCGCGGCGCCCGTGCTGCGGCGTGGCGGCCGGCAGTGCTCTTGTTTTCTCCCCGACCATCCGCATGACCGAGCTGCTCTACAGTGACATCACCCAACTGTTTTCACCCGCCCTGTTGCGCTTGTGGTGCAAACCCGGCCCCTGAACCCTCAACCTGAAACCCTCCTCCCTGCGCGCGGTGGCAGGCATGTGATACAGAATGTGCGGCTGCTGGAGCCCGAGTTTGTGACGCTCGAAGGTGGGTCCAACGCCGCGACCCGCGGGCCGCGAACACCGCGCCGCCGCGGTCGTCGTGGCCCCCGCCTGCTGATCAGCTGCGAAGGAGTTTCTGTTTGGGATGCATCCATCACCAGCAGCGGCCGCTCAGGCGGATCCATGTGCCGCACTGGTACACAAAGCGAGCCCCAAACGTCGGCTCCTGCGATGCCTCCCCGCCAACCGCGGCAAGCGGGCCCATCACTCACGCCCGGTCGCTGATGTGTGGATGACGTCACCATTGCCGCCACCCCCGCATCACCTGCAGAGGTGCCCCAGTTCCTCAGCGTGATGCTGCAAGCCCAGCCGCCCGGCGGCCACCCGCCCCCCGCGGCCGAGCGCCGCGGCAATGGCGCAGGCGGCGCGCCGCGCGCCGCGCCGCCGGCGCCGCCGACTCCGGCGGCGGTGCGGGAGCACCCGTGTCTGCCTGTGATGGCGGCACTGGTGGACACGGGCTACCAGGTGCGGCCGAGCCTGCTGCAGGCGCTGCACTACGGCCACGCCGCCGCCAGATGGGTGAGTCTGGTTTGACGCCGCAGCTCGAACCGGGGTTTTCAAAAACGAATCCGGGGTTGCGTCATTAAAGAAGCTGCTCACGTATGGATCAGGGGACTGAGAATGGTCTGGGATTTGAATGTTGCCCACAGGGGTCTTTCCAGGTTGCGGTTTGGTGCGTGGCGGGATGCAAGTGTCTGCTGAGTCAGCGCAGGCAGATAAGGCGCACCTGGCTAGCGGTGCCCAGGTGCTGCGGAGGGGGTCGCAAATTGACACACACAAACACATATACACAGACACACATCAACACACACACACATCAACACACACACACACACCCACACACAACAAAGCAAACACCTACGCGCAACCCCAACCGCAGCGCTGCGTGCTATTCGCCGCGAAAGCGAACCGAGAGCTGCCGCGCCCGCCGCCGCCGCGCTACCACGTGCCCAAGCTGCCCCAGCTCCCCGCCATCCACCGCGGCGCGCTGCTTACTGACATGGGCTGGGGCGGGCTGGCCTTCACTGAGGATGACACGGGTGAGGGGCGGCCCTGCCTGCATGGCTTTTGGGGGGGGGACGGCAGTGGGGGGCTTGGAGCGCCGTCCTGGACGCGCTGCTGTGCCTCGAGGGCGTTTAGTCACACGCGTGCACGCACACGCACAAACACACACGCGCACACACACGTACGTACGTGAACACACATATGCATGCGCTCACACAGGCACGCAAACACACGTGAACCAACCCACTCACATGTAAAAGATGCATGCATGCACGTGTGAGCTGTGCCTTTCTGGTCCCTTACGCGTATGCTGTCGCTCGTCAACTCGCACAAACCCCACAAAAGGGCCCTCTTTCACCCGTATGGCGCCTCCCTCACCCCCAACCCCCCAAACCCCACGACCCCCATGAACCCCTCCCCCACCCTCGCCCGCCATGTGCACCTGCAGCGCACCTGCCACTTCACCTGACGGCCCGCCAGGCGCTGGGTGAGCCATGGGCCGCCCTGTGGGGCGTGGGGAGTGCGCGCGGGGTTTTGACGGGGGGCTCGGAGGCCCGGGGGGCCGCGGCTCGAGCTCATGTGCAGCGGCCGCAGGGTCTGCTAGTTTACGTGCCGGCTCAGGGTATCATACCCTGGAAATGATCTTGGATGGCAACGGGTGCGCCTGTGCTTTCGGAGGGGGACATGCGATGCTGAATGGCACCCTTCTGCCCCTGAGGCTATCTTACGTGGCATGGTCTGTAATTCAAATCGGCCGCGGCGAATGGCCGCCTTTTCGCAGGGGACCTCCCCTCCCTAATGGCGGAGGAGCGCCAGAAGGCCCAGGAGAGGCAGGCAGCAGAGGCGCGGCGCAAGTCCGAGGCAGGCCCCGCGGCCGCGGGCGGCGGCGGCGGCGGCGGCGGGGGCCGCGGCGGCGAGTTTGGGACGCTGGTGCGGCCGGCGAGCCTGGTATATGATGCGTCAAAGGGGATGGCGCCCGCGGACGGCGGCGGCGCGTCGGCGTTCGCGGCGTGGCTGATGAGCGCCCGCCGCTACCCCGGGCAGACGTGAGCGTGAAGTTGAACTTGGGATCTAGGTTTCAGGGCCCAGGGTCGAGCCTCTGGGAAGAAAGGCCTTCCGAGCGACGGTCGCCTGGGAGCTGGGTTTAGTTGATGCCTGCGCTGCACAGCCGTTCCACGTGCGTGGGTGATTGGCGTTAGAGCGCGGAAAGGGCAGGAAGGGGGGAGGGTGAGGGGCGGTGTGTTGAGCACCGCGCCGGGAGGGGCCAGCCTGGCGGCCCTGTCGCCGCGTCGCTGCCGCTCCCCTCTGCGGGCAAAGCGGGGCTCGCCTGTGCCGCAGGCCGCTTGTTCGGTCAACGTGCCGCTCTCCAAACTCTCCTTGCCCGACCCGACCACCCGACCGCCGGACACCCAATCACCCGACCACCCAACCACCCGACCACCCAACCACCCAACCACCTGACCACCCAGCTGGTCCAAGACGTCATCAGCCCTTTCCCGCCACGGTGCGTCGCCGCGACCCCCCAAATCCCGCGCCCCGGCCCGCGACGCGCGGGGCCGCCCTCGCTCGCGCCCCGCGCGCCGCACGACCCTTGCTGCTCGCGCTGCCGCGCTCTCCGTTGGCCTCGCAGCCGCGCGACCGCTGCCTGCTGTTTGCCAACCGCAAATCATCTCAAACCGCCTTAACCCATCTCAAACCGCCTGCTGACAGCCAAAACTATCTCGAAACCGCCGACCGTACAATCTTTTGACCGCCACCCGCAAACTATCTCGAACCACCGGCTGCAAATATCAGAGAAGTATCTGAGCGACGACGCCACAAAGAGGATTCTGGAGCACGACAGCAGCAAGCGCGTCCCAGAAGACGGTGAGGCGATAGATCTAGGGGTTGTGCCTCCGTGCTCCCCAACACGCTGCACTTGATACAAGGACCCCTCGCAGCGGGCGGGCCGCGGCGCCGGCGGTGCACGGGGCGACGCGCCGAGCCGGCTTGGCGAGGTGGCTGCAGGCCCCTACAGCAGGCTTTGGTGAAACGTTTTTGAATGATGGATGCATGCACCCTCGCAGCATCACACGCACCGCGAAACGCCACCTGTTTGGGCGCGGACGCCCATTGGTCACAGGCAAGCAGGGGGCGCAGTAGGGGTCCCAGCACCTCGTGCACGCGCACCCATGCACACATACACACACACACACACACACACGCTCTCTCTCACTCTCTCTCACACATTCACACACACACACTCTCTCTCACACACACACACACACACACACACACACACACGAACAGGCTTCTTCCCGACCGTGACCAAAGACAATGACGTCCACCTGCAGCGCGGGGGGGCCTGGCTCTGCCCCTGGGAGGACCGCCTGCTGTCACTGGAGGAGCGCTGCCGCCTGCAGGGCGTGCCGCCCACCGTGTGAGAACGCACGCACGCGCGCGCGCGCGGTTGGCGCTGCGCGCGGGGAGCGGCGCGCGGGGCGGCGCGGGGGGGTTGGGGGGGCGTGCGCGGGGGTCGTGCGCGGCCGCGGGGGTGTTTGGTTCTTGCAGAGTGTTGGATACGGTCCGGCTTGTTGTCCTGGGTGTGCGCGCGCGCATGCACACACACACACACACACACACACACACACACACACACACACACAC